CATAGAGGCCCAGGCCGGGCAGCAGGGCGTGGCGGCACCCGCCTGTCTTGCCGGAGACACAGGAGGCTGATGCCGGAGGATCGCGTAGTCGAGGCCAGCCTGCGCAACTCAGTGAGACCCTGTCTCAAAATACAAAATAAAAGGGGCCCGGGCTGTAGTGTGGAGGCCTCCTGGGTGTTATGGGGAGCCGCGTCAAGAAACGCTCAAAGTCCGAATTCAAATCAAAGACAGCTTTATTCACCTGGTGGGGGACTGCCACCCACTCTAGAGACTGAAGCTGTGTGGGAGAACAGCCTTTTCCTGGCCTGTGTCTTGGGAATTTAAGGACGAAAAACCACAGCTTGGGGACTTTGCTTAGCGTCATGCAAGCAAGCCAGTCATAGACGCTAAGACAGCAATTAGCGCAAGGCAGTGGCATCTTGGGTCCGAGCAGGTGTTAGACACCATATGCTGAGCTCCAGCAGGTGGTTAGTGGGGGCGAGACTCTGGTTCAAAGTTCAGAGAACAATATTATAAGAAATCTGCTTTCGTTTTAGTTTCTCAGAAACAGCTCTTGTAACAGTTTTTGTTTTTCTTAACAGAAGGCAGCAAAATGGAGTCTTAGGCCAGTCTGTGACAGTTCTTGCTTTATCATTGTCTTATCTCACTTATCAAAATCTTACATATCAATAATCTATTTTTTTACTACTCTATAACCTATAACTTACACTCTTACTGATTGTATTTATAGGTTCACACAACAACACTGGGTTCTGCCCCGCACTGCAGAGAGAAAGAGCTCAGGCCCTCAGAGGACTGGCTGTGCCCTAGGCTGGTCACTGGGTGGCGGATGGAGACTTAAACTCTACCAAGGGGAACACGGAGGAAGTCTGTGTTCACCAACAAAATATATGGGCAACTCTGGCCCGTACTTTGCTTCGAGAATCAAAGAATGAAGGTGTGTGTGTGTGTGTGAATTAAGTAAACTAAACCCCAAGGTGTGTGTGTGGGGGGCGGTATCAGAATCTGGCTCTGGACCTTAAGGAGTCTCACTTCAAAAGAGAAAACAAGGAAAACCACCTGAAATCCCAGGTATTTGTGAGGCAGAGGCAGAAGAATCATAAGTTCAAGGCCCACCTGGGCAACTTAGCAAGATCTTGTCTCAAAAAGCTGGGGGTGGGGGCTGGGGCTCAGTGGCAAAGTGCTTGCCTGCATGTGTGAGGCCCTGGGTTCGATCCTCAGCACCACATAAAAATAAATAAAATAAAGGTACATCTAAAATAATAATAATAATAATAATAATAAAAGAGCTGGGATGTGGTTTAGTGGTAAAGGGCCCCTGTGTTCATTTGCCAGCACCAAATAAAGGAAAAAGGTCAAGAATTGGATGTTTTTTCCCCACATATGGTAGCTAGAGAGGAAAAAGGGAAGAAAAGTCTCACAAAAATCAAAGGGAAAGAGTCAAGGGGAGGGAAGAGGGGAAAGACAGGAAAATCCTGGGGGATGATGTTGACCAAATAATATTGTTATATTGTGTGCATGTATGAATATGTAACAGATGGTCCCACTATTATGTATAATTGTAATGCTCCAAAAAGCTTATGGAAAAGAAAAAGAGCCAGACAGGGGACGCACACCTGTAATTCAAAGGACTGGGGAGGCTGAGGCAGGAGGATTGCAAGTTCAAAGTCAGTCTCAGCACCTTAGCGAGAGCCTAAGCAACTTACCAAGACCCTGTCTCAAAATAAAAAATTAAGAAAGAGCTGGGGGTATGGCTCAGTGGTTAGGGTCCCTGGGTTTAATCCTAGTACCAAGAAAGACAGAGTGAGCCTTGGGTTCCCCCTCAGCACTAGACACACACGATAAACAGATATTTCTGAATCTTAGGTCTTATTTACACACTATGTCCACCTCTCCTCAGGGAATGAGAGATGATCTAGAAAAATGGGTTTGCAGGTCAAGTTCACAGGCTAGAAGCACCCTGAGAAGTGTGGGCAATTCCGAGGCTGGCTGGGATTGTGACGAATTGCAGCAGGTTCAAATCAGCCCCTGGGTGAGGAACGGTGGCATGAGCTGCACCTCTGGACTGGAGTCAGGAGCATCTTATGGACCGGAACCTAAGACCTGAAGTGGGTGGCCCAGTCGGTAGTGGATGGCAGCACAAGACCTTGCTAGGGAGACTCCTTTGCAGTTTCAGGAGTTTTTAGTCTGTGTACCTGGATACAGTAGTAGGAAGCTGGCCGTTTGGGGGCAGTCAAAACCCAGGCTCTTCTGTTTTTTTCTCAACCAAATGTTTGTCTTAGAAATAGTTTATTAATACCAATGGCAACAGCCCCTGTCCACAAGGGGCTTTAGGCTTTTCTAAGGGCCTCTCACCGGCTGCCAGGCGGCAGCCTCCCAGTCTCCATTGCAGAGGGCTGGGGTTTCTGTCCCTGGGGCCTTGAAAGGCTGAAAGCTGCCGCAGTCCTGGGATGTGGGAGTTTTGCTCTCTAATCTGTTAAGATATTCGGTAGAGATTTTGGGGAGTCTGTCACCTACTGAGTGCCATTCATGTGGCACATGGCAAAACAGTGGGGAGGGAACCTTTTGGGTGGTGGAAGTGTTTCATACTTGGCAGGGATGTGAGCCAGGTGGCTGTTGCATCTGTCAGAATCATGAGTTATTTGCCATCAGTTCACTTCACTGTGAAGCTGGCCTACATGGATGTTCCATCCCGGCTGTGCAGAGCCAGGCCAAGGGCAATAGGGTACTGGGTACACCAGCACACACTTGCTGGTGGGGTGTGTCTGGAAAGACTCCCCCGCAGACTAGATGGCCCAGTGGCCTTGATGCCCAGAGCAGCTGGGGGCACTGTGGAGGGTTTCAGCTGTGTCTGCAGGTAGCAGAGGTGGGTGAAGAGGGTGGGCTGGCACTTCTGGAGTGGGGCTGCTTGGTACTCATGCCGAGGAGGAGCCAGGTGCTGTGGTTTCACACCCACCAGCAGGCCGTGGAGAAACTATTCTGGGTGGCTCCACAAAGCGGCTGCTCAAGAAGTGGACAGGCCTCTGCACTGCATGTGGAGCCCTGAAGGAGCCGGAGGTCACATTCTGGAGCTGAGGTGGGAGTGAGGACCTCTGCTGCCTTGCATGCTGCAAAAGCGTGGCTGCTGGAGCAGAGCCTGGCCAGCGGCTCTCCTCCAGGTGTTGCTGCGAAGACCAGCCCAGGTCAGAAACCAGCATCACCCCAGAGGAGTGGACTGAACCTCCCTCAAACTTCCTTTGTTAAGCCTGAGCAGTGCTGGCAGAGGCAGAGGCTCAACAAGATCCCATCTGACTCACCAAGTTCAAACAGTAGCTATTGGTAGCCTGAAAGGCCAAGGACCTAGGGACAGACTGGGAAGGCACACTGCAACCCCCTGCAGAGCTGTGTACAGAGCTGTGGTTGTCCTGAGCTGCCCCAGCCCTAGACTTGCCCTGAGGTATGGTCCTGAGCGGCCAGCTGGAGGTGGGGTCACTGAGAAGCACCCTCTGGGGCTTGGGGTTGGAGGTTGTGGTGGCTGTCCACCTCCCTGGGCCTCGGGGGTGTGCCTGCTCTGTGATCCACAGGGAAGAAGGGCGGTGTGCCATGTGGGGCCTTGGCAAGGAGGTGCTTCCTTCACTCCATTTGGGACAAACTTGTGCAGTCTTGTGAGGGGCACTGAAGGAAGGAAAACTGATCCTTTGCAGCCTTGTACCAGAGGTGGCTGGCAGGCACATTGAGCTCCCAGGCATGCGACCTACCTCCTCTATGTGTGACAGGTCTCACTGTGTGCCCAGGCTGGACACCCAGGCTCAAGTGGTCCCCACACCTCAGCCACTGAGCAGCTGGGGCTCAGGGGCCCGCCCTCTGCGGCACCTGGCTCCCTCCTTCCAAGTTCCAGGCCAGCCTGGTCAGCTTAGCAAGACCCTGTCTCAAAATAAAATTTTAAAAGGGTGGGGGTGTAGCTCAGTAATAGAGCTCTTGCTCAGCATGTGCAAGGCCGCGGGTCCCAAACCTAATACTGCAAAAATAATTAAAAAAGGAAAAGAAGCATCCGTCCAGCACTCTGGGGCAGTTGGACACCTTGGTTTGGTGAGAGGTCAGCTAATGGAGAGGTTCATTCTGGGGTTTGCTCCATGTGCCCACCACTGCTCCCAGGTGGAGCCTTGACTCCACATAGCCCTGCTGACCAGTGCTTTTCAGGGACACGCGCAGCCCCAAGCCAGCAGGTGGAGTCACTGGTACTCACTTCATCCTGGAGCCTCACCTGAGCCCCACTTTTCTTTCCACACCAATTCAGAGGGAATGGGGGGCCCTGCTCCCTGTGTGGCCTCAAGCTGGACCTGACCAGCTGTGCGTCTCTGACTGACTTGGCACTCCGTCAGCCTGAGTTGCACTGGTTTCTGTTGCTTCCCAAGAGCAGCCAGTGCCTGGTGAGTGAGCAGCCAGCCAGCAGTCATCTTGAGCACTCTGGGGCTCAGACCTCTCTCAGAACTGAACTTGAAACCAATCTAGCTGGGTGCAGTGGCAGCACAGGTCAATAATCCCAGCAACCTGGGAGGCTGAGGTAGGAGGATTGCAAGTTCAAAGCCAGCCTCAGCAGTTTAGCGAGCTGCAGAAAATCAAAAGGATCTGGCTCAGTGGTTAAGTGCCTCTGGGTTCCATCCCCAGTACCAAAACAAGCAATGACAACAACAAAAACCCAAAGAAATCAAGAGCATTCAGGGCAAGGGGAAAACAAATTGGGACAGTCAGTGACCCCACCCAGGAAATGACACTAACCGGGCCACGCAGGGCTGTGCAGGCTGCCACTGGACTGGTGAATGGGGAGCAAGGCTTTTCTTGCTGGCCCCAGACTCAGACATGCTGGCCAGGGCCTCCTGGCCCAAGGCCACCTCTAGTCTTCCTATGGATGCCCTGAGGAGGTGCCTAACAGCACCACATGCTGGCTCTCCCCTGTCCAGGCCTGCCCGTCCTCCCAGGGCGGGGCAGGTGGGTGGGGCAGCCTGGAGGAGAGAGGGAAGTGAGAGCTGGGGCGGGGCTGGCTGGGAGAAGTAGAGAGCAAAGCGGAGCAGCAGGAGCAGGAACAAGGCGAGGTGACGGGGAGTGGCCTTGGGAGTGGGACTGGCTGGGACCCTCTGGGTGAACAGGGAAGGGTGACTTGCAGGGTCTGGAAACAGCCAGGAAAGGTGGCCCTGGCCTGTAGCCCTGGCAGGCTTATGCCAGACTCTGGTTCCTACCTGACTGCCTCTCCAAACTGACCTGGGGGATGGGAGCGTCCTGGTGGGCTGTGCCCTAGAGGCAGAGGGAGGAGCCCAGGCTTACCCTGAGTGTGAGAGGTGGTGGAAGACTCCCTAGGGATGCCTGAGACCCCCAGTGCGAATTCTGTCCCCCTGGGCAGCACCTAGTGCCCTGGAGCAGGACTGTGGGGGGTCTGACCACTGGAGGGGCTCCAGCCAGGCGGGCAGGCCCGGCCTTCTGCTGGAGGCACTTTGGCCAACTCCCTGCGGAGGGCCTGCCTGGGGTCGGGGGAGGAGGTAGAACCTGGGGAGGAGCCCTCCAGGCTGGGGGTCTGGTGTGGTTCTGGAGCAGACCTCCTCTCTGCCCTTATCCAGAAGGACAAGTGCATTGCACACTGAGGGGCAGCCGGGCTGTGAGGGGAAGAGGCCAGTCAGGAGTCTATGGAATTAGGGCCTGAGGAGGGCAAATATCCCACAGGTACCCGGAGGAATGGGGACACTGACGGCTGTCAAGCATTTCCTCAAAGGTGTGCATTAGCTGGGCTCGGTGGCACACGCCTGCAACCCCAGCGGCTCAGGAGGCTGAGGCAGGAGGATAGCAAGTTCAAGGCCTGGGCAATTAGTGAGACTCTGTCTCAAAATAAAAAGGGCCGGGGGTTCAGCTTAGTGGTAGAGTGCTGGCTTAGCATGGGAGTGGCCCTGAGTTCAACCCTCAGTACCTGGGGGGAGACATAGAAGAGGCTGTTTTCCCTAGAGATGAGTTCCCCATCTCCAATGGCATCCAAGAGGGGCTGGTAGAGGATGCTGCAGGGGAGCTCTGTGCTGTGCATGTCTGGGTATGTGTCAGGAGGCAGATGTGGGGCTGGACTGAACTAGATGAGCATTAGGGCTCCTTCTCACGCTGGGTCTGTGATTCAATGACAATGACGTCCCGCCCAGGGGAGGTTTGAGGTTTCCTTGGGCATGGTGGCCCTCTACCTCACTACGCCCTGCAGCTGGACGCAGAAGCCTGGGCTGTTCCTTGGGTTTGTGCTCCCCTTCCTGCCTGTGCTGAGCCCCAGCACAGGCCTTGAAGGAGTGGAACAGAGTGGACAGCCACAGGCTGCTTGGGGGACACGCAGAGAGAGGCATGAGAGTGCCCTTTGCTTAGGCGGAGACGTGGAGTAGTCAGGTCTTGCTGCAGGGCCACCTGCAGTGGGGCCTGGAGCTTTCCTCCCAGGTGGGAGGCCTGGGGGAACTCCTGGGGAGGCTGAGGTGGAGGATCTGGAAGATCCCTTGGACCCTTAATGTGGGCCTGGGATGCTGGGCTCTGATGGGTGTGAGGCTGGAGGCACACATGGAGGAGGCCGAGGAGCTGTGGGTGCCAGCGGCTGGCAGGAGGGGAAAAGAGGGAAGGACCAGAGGTTGGGTTGGTCCCTCCTGAGAGAGCCTGGGGCGAGGTGGGGGACAGGGATCTGACGGGGCAGCCCAGGCTCTACCCAGGGAGCCTGCTTGTAGCTGGCCAAGTCTGGGGCCAGGTATTGGGAGTTTACAAAAATCCTGGTATGTCAAGGGTGACTCTGCTCCAGACAGAGTCCACAGCAGCACGGGGTGACTTCAGCATGTGGTCAGCATGTGGATGCGCAACCTCACTGCAGAGCAAAGGAGCGAGGCCTCAGGCCTGCGGCCCGTAGGGGACCGCTTACTCACGGAGACCAGTTAAAGCCACCCAGGGATCACCTTATTGGCCTGTCCAGGGTACAGGACCACAGTGACAGGGTCGTGCAGCAGGTGGGAGAGACCGGGCTCATTCTGAATGCAGCGTGGGCGGAAGCTAAGGAGCAGGGCAAGGGCCAGGGATGGCAGATGATTCCAGGGGAACAGCAGGGCAGGGTTCTGTCTAACCGACCCTCAGAGACTTGTTGAAGACCAGCCAGGCTGACCCTGACCCGAGGCCCCTGGGGGGAGGCAGAGGATGTAGCCCTGATGACGCTGAAGGTGGCTGGATGTGGAGGATGGCTTCTGGTGAAGCTTGCTGGTCGGGTCCTTTGCTAACCCTGGGGTTCACAGGGAGACACAGGGGAGGTTCCCCAAAGCGTTGTCAGCACGTACTTTATTTAAAAAAAATTTTGTTTTAGTATTTTTCCTTTTTTGCAGTGCCAGGCATTAAACCCAAGGCCTCACGCATGCCCGGCAATGCTTTATCACTGAGTGCAGCACCAGCCCCGCACCTACCTTCTATAGGACCCCAAGGCCACTCGCCCTGCTGTGGGGGCTCACGGCCTGGACAGGTAGCCTGCTTGTTTGAGCTTTGAGTTCTCGTAGCACAGAATCCAGACTAGGGAAGCCCACAGCTTCTGACCGCACTCCTTCCTTGAGCTCTCCCTGCTGGTGACTCAGCCAGGGCCTGTGGGCATAGCATGTGACCCTTTGTGAGACCCAGAAGCAACTCCCCTCCCTTCCTCTCCTCCTGGGATGCCAAAGAACGCCTCTGCTATTCGTAGCTGCTGGTGGAAAAGGAAAGGCGTGGTTTTCAGGCACTGCACACCCATCACCCTGCTCTCACCCGCCCTGGTGCCTGCTCAGAACGCCCCTGCTCGCTTGGCCTCCATTCAGTGGCTCCAAGATCCTCCCAGTGATGCCCCTTGGCTTCTCAGCTGGTTCCCTTCGCCCTGACTCTGCCTAGAGGGAGGCCCCTTGCAAAGCTGAGCTGGGTGGGCACATGGTGTGTGTTGTGTGGAGTGCCGCAATGTGGGAAGAAACCAGCTGTCGCCACCCATTTTCTGGACCTTAAAGATGATGATGTGTTTTTAAAATGCCTGCTTTTTGTATTCTCCCCACAATCCGTGCCATGGGTCGTCCCTCCTGACCCATGCAATAGAGATGGGTGCTTCATGCCAGCACTGAAGGGAGCTGGGCACACAGTGATGCCAGGGACCAGGCTGGGGAGCCGCTGAGGGCAGGGAGTAGTTAGACAGCCTTTAAGGACATTTAGTAAGGCTTCACTTTGCTGTGTTTGGTAGGTGCCTTTCAGCCCCAGCTCGGGCCGTCTGTTTCTCCTTGAGTTCTCACTCTGTACCTTCCAGGATGCTTGTTCATTGTTCACGTGAGACAGTGAATGCACTGGCATAAAACTTCTGAAATCCTTCAGTTGTCATTTGAATATCTACAGAACCTACAGTGACTTAGAGGCAGGTTAGAAGAAATAAGAAGTAGGAGAGACAAGGAGAAGGACAAGGAAGGACAATGCTGATCTGAGGTCCCATGCACCTGTCCAGCCCTCTCACTTCTCAAGCTCAGTCTTCCCAGACCCGTCTCTCCCACCTTTATGGGAAACCTGAGCATCTTAGAGTTATTGCAAACCTACCCCCTCTTGGGAAAATTACCTGTGAACTTTGATTAGTTTATAAAATGAATAGATTAAGCAAGGGGAGGTATAGTTTTTTTTTTAATGCAGTACTAGTGATTGAACCCTCTGATGCTCTGTCTACCAGGGCTACATCCCCAGGGTCTTGAGACAGGGTCTTGCTAAATTGCTGAGGCTGGTCTTGAACTTGTGAGCCTCCTGCTTCAGCCTCCAGAGTTGCTGGGATTACAGGCGTGTGCCACTGCACCTGGCTGCTTTTATTTTTATTATTTAATTCCTTCTGATTGTTTTGGGTTTCATTTGCTTGTCCTTTTCATTTTGGGCTTTTTTTTTTTTTTATACCAAGGATTGAACTCAGGGGCACTTGACCACTGAGCCACATCCCAGCCCTATTTTGTATTTTATTTAGAGACAGGGGCTCACTGAGTTGCTGAGTGCCTCGATGTTGCTGAGGCTGGCTTTGAACTTGCAATCCTTCTGCCTCAGCCTCCCGGGCTGCTGGGATCATAGGCATGCACCACTGCGCCCATCTGTCCTTTTCTTTTTATGGTGGAAGCTGAAGCCATTGGCTTTTGGCTTTTCTAATGGCAGTTTCTGCTTAGAGAGCTGCCTCCCAATCTTGGTTATCGGGGTCTGAGTGGAAGGCAGGTGTGGCTGAGAGGTCAGACAGTTGGGACACCTGGCCAGGTGCAGAGATCTGGTCTCCACAAGCCATGCACAGCTGAGTGACCATGTGTGACCTTGGACTTTGACTCTCCACCTGCTTTTCTTTGCCTGTGTAATGGAACCAGGGGCAATCCCCTCTTGGGCTCCTGTAAGTGAAGTAGTTGAATATACCTGGCCACCTGGCAGGGCCTTCCAGACCCATATGTGAGGGCCCTTGAGTCCGTGACAAGGATACTCTGTCTTGCAGGTCCGGAGACAGCATGTTCACGCCCATCCCCAAGAGGTAGGCAGCCACTCACCCTCCCCTCCCAGCACTTCCAGGGCTGCCCACTCCCTGAGCCATCATCCACTCCTCCAGTCCTGGGCACCAACCTTCTTCCTCCCCGCAGTGGCTCTCCATTCCCGGCCTCCGTGCGGGATCCTGGCCTGCACGTGTGGCGGGTGGAGAAGCTGAAGCCGGTGCCTGTGGCGCGCGAGACCCAGGGCGTCTTTTTCTCGGGGGACTCCTACCTGGTGCTGTACAACGGCCCGGAAGAGCTCTCTCATCTCCACCTGTGGATAGGTATGGGGCAGGGTGGTGGGGTCTCGCTCAGGGTGAGGGCTGGCATGGGCCTCGGGGACCTTGCCCTTCCACCTCCCTCCTGCCCCAGGCCAGCAGTCTTCCCGGGACGAGCAAGGGGCCTGCGCTGTGCTGGCCGTCCACCTCAACACCCTGCTGGGGGAGCGGCCCGTGCAGCACCGGGAGGTGCAGGGCAACGAGTCTGACCTCTTCATGAGCTACTTCCCGCGGGGCCTCAAGTACCAGGTCAGGGCAGCTCCAGCCCGTGTCCCCCCTTCCTGCCTGTCTCCTGCGGGTGGGGTGCAGAGCCCTGGTAGCTCAGGCACATGAAGGGGTCCCTTCTGGGCTGCAGGAAGGTGGTGTGGAGTCAGCATTCCACAAGACCTCCCCTGGGACGGCCCCGGCAGCCATCAGGAAGCTGTACCAGGTGAAGGGGAAGAAGAACATCCGGGCCACGGAGCGGGCGCTGAGCTGGGACAGCTTCAACACCGGGGACTGCTTCATCCTGGACCTGGGCCAGGTGGGTGGCCGAGGCTGGGCAAGGAATGAGGCCATACCCCACTCCTAGTGGACCCTCCACCAGGGAGTGCCATCCCGAGCCCAGCCCTTGGGGTTGTCTCCAGGGCCACGGCCACCAGAGCCCCGTGGCTCTGACCTGTGTAAGATGGCCTCTATGTGGACTCAGGTACTTCACTGTGTACTTGGTCCCCTCCAGGTGACCACAACACCTCCTGGGTGAGTGCCGGAGAGGTAGGGAGTAACGGCAGGGAGCACAGACACAATGTGTCCGAGTATTTCTGATCCTTGGTCGAATCTGGTTGCACCCACATTAGAGGGCCACTGTGGGCAGAGCCGGCCTCCGGCGGTGTTCCCAGGCTCTGAGTCCACTCCCTCCCTCTCAGGAGCCGTGGTGGCCTGGGCTACTTGCCTGCCGGCCTCTCATGCATTGAGTCCAGGATGCTCCTCTGGGCCAGCATGGAGGCCTGGGGAGGCAGCCAAGATGGCCTGTCTCCATCCTAGCCCATGCAGCAGTGAGTGGGGCATAGGCCAGGGGCTGGGCTCTCAGGCAGGGAGGGACCACCAACCTGCCATCCCAGGGAGGAGCCAAAGATGGACCTTCAGGGAGGGAGCAGGTGAGCAGGGCTGGGGAGGGGAAGGGGCATGGTCCTGGAGTGCAGGTGGCTAAGGAAGGCCTTGAGGACACTGCTTTGGGGCTGGAGGATGGCTGAAGATTAGGCAGGAGGGTCAACCTTGCTGTTCTCAGGAAGGGCGGTGGTGGTGAGAAGAGGCAGGGGCACAAGGACAGTCCTTGTACCAAGTGGCAGTTCAGGAGAGGAGACGGGGGAGGGGAAACAGCTCTAGGGTGGCATCCCCACTTCCCCGCAGCCTCCCCCCACCCCGCCCGTTCAGCACACATCTGTATTGTGCCTAACTATGTGCCAGCTCAGCTTTGGCGAGGGCACAGGGCAGGGAGCAAATCCGTCAGGCTCACTTCCTAGAGCGAGAGGCTGGCTCTAATGAGGTAAAGAGGTGACATGGGCAGGAATACGCACAGCCTTCCTCTAAGGCCTCTGGGGTCTGTCCCTGCCTTCTGTCACACCTCCAGTGTCAGTCCTCCAAGAAGAGCAGGGGAGGCAGGACCCTTCTGGGCTGGGGCAGGACTCGGCCGCTGGCTGTGACCGGGCTGCTCCCTTCCCTGCAGAGCATCTTTGCCTGGTGTGGTGGGAGGTCCAACATCCTGGAGCGCAACAAGGCCCGGGACCTGGCCCTGGCCATCCGGGACAGCGAGCGGCAGGGCAAGGCCCAAGTGGAGATCGTCACCGATGGGGAGGAGCCTGCTGAGATGATCCAGGTTGGAGGACACTGGCGTGGGCAGCTGGGCGCCCTGCTTAGAAGTGGTCAAGAGAGTCAGTGATGAGCTGGGATGCGAGGGTGGCCGGGCCAGGGTACAGGCATCTCTGTGATGGAGAAGCAGGCAGCCTGGCTGGTGGGTGGGTTGTGCTCACTCTCCCTAGTGCCTTGGTGCAGGACATGGTGAGCCAGACAAGAGGGGTGGCCCTGAGCATGACGGCTTTAAAGTTTGGGGGCAGGAATTCCAGTATACCTGGCCTGCTCTGGCTCTGCAGGTTCTGGGCCCCAAGCCTACTCTGAAGGAGGGGAACCCTGAAGAAGACCTCACAGCTGACCAGACGAATGCCCAGGCCGCGGCTCTCTACAAGGTGGGCACTCCAGGCCTTGTGCAGCAGCCGCAGGGCCGGGGCTGAAGAGAGAGGAGCGGCTCAGAGGGCAGGAGGATGGGAAGTGGGGGGTGGCAATCCCCAAGGACATAACTGTTATTTCACTTCGGGGCCCTTCCTGGTGAAGTTCAGAAGCTAGTTCCAAGCGTCCTCTGTTGAACTCCCCTGATGGGTCACCGGGCAGTGCCCAGCAGTACCGAGGTGGAGGGCAGGGGTGGGGGCTGCCTTGGCCAGGGCAAGGCTCTGGGGAGCAGCAGAGAGGGCCCTGGCCCTCTCTGGGCTGAGACGAGGGCTGGTGCTCGGGGAAGTCAGACTCAGCGTGCCCTTCCTCCCTCAGGTCTCTGATTCCACTGGACAGATGGACCTGACCAAGGTGGCCGACTCCAGCCCCTTTGCCCCTGAGCTGCTGGTGCCCGACGACTGCTTCGTGCTGGACAACGGGCTCTGTGGCAAGATCTACATCTGGAAGGGTACGCGGGGCTCCTCCACAGCCGCCTGGGCCCTGTAGCTGCCCTGGCCCAGGCAGGCACCCATGGCCACTGCTCTGAAGCTGCAGCCCCCTGCAGTCGCTGAGGGCCTGCTCAGATGTGTTGCTGGGTCCTGCCCCAGAGATTCAGGCTTGCTAGGCCTGGGGGCAGCTACCACTCCTGGGAACCACTCTTTTAGCCCCTTCCTTGGCCTTCAGGGCTTGGAGACCCCAATCTTGGACTATGCCTCAAGGTGTGACAGGTAAATTCTAGATAAATTACACATCACCTTATGCAATGGGTGGTGAACTCGCAGAACTTGTTTCCCAAGAGATGGTATCGAGAGATGGTATTGGCTGGAGGGAGACTGCTGTGCTCAGCCGTCCTGTCCTGCCAGCTCTGGCCCTCAGGCCCTGGACCCTGGCTTTGCTTTCTGGAGCCTGTTTCACCTCCCTGACCAGCTGACAAGCTTCTCAAAGGCAGGAACTGTGTTTATCTGATGGTCTTGATGAGATAGCTACAGGGTTAACAAGATGTGGAACTTGCCAGCCCCCAGCCTGGTCAGGAAGAGAAGTGAGGCGTCCAGAGATGGCGGCTCCCAGGGGCTCATACTGCGGCCTCCCAAATCCAGCAGAGACCTGGGATAGGGGCCTGGAGGTGCTGGCAGCATGGTTGATCTCTAGGGTTTGGGGAGGGGACGAGAGAGGCTCCTGCTGGGGCTGCTTTTGCCCTCCCTGGAGGGGACGTGCCCCGCAGCACTGATGCCAAGCATAGGAACCTCAAGCAAAGAATTATTACAGAAAGAGAATCCAGAGGAGAAACGGGGAGTTTGAGAGCCAGGAAGATGGGTGCCTGTGGGTCAGGTGCGGCTGGTGTGTTCACAGGGAGTTGAAGCATGTCAGTTCAGATATGCTGTAGTTCACGGGGTCCCCACAGCCTGGCTGCAGAGCCAGCCACTGTTCCCAGCACTATTTCTTTGGGAAAAATGCCTTGAACTGGAGCACAGGTTGGGTTTAAGGACTGTCTGCAGAAATGGGTGGATTCTGCGTGGTTTATTTTGATGAGCACTCCAGTAGCATAACCATTATGCCAGCGGAGACTCGCTGGCATTATAGGAGTCTGTTCTCCATAATAAATTGTCCCTTTTGTTCTCAGTTTGTCAAGAAGGCTTGAGTTGGGCACGGTGGCCACGCCTGTATTAAAGCAATTTGGAAGGCTGAGACAGGAGAATCGCAAGTTCAAGGCCAGCCTGGGCAACTTGGTGAAACCCTGTCTCAAAATACAAAATAAGGGCTGGGGATATGGTTCAGTTGGTAGAGTGCTTCCCTCGCATGCACAAGGTCCTGGATAAATCCCCAGCACCACCACAAATAAATAACGGCTGGGGATATGGTTCAGTGATAAAGTGCCCGGGGTTCAGTCCTCAGTACAAAGAAAAGAAAAGGCTTGCTAACCATACAATTGACAGGCACAATAGGTGAGGGTCCTGCCCCTACAGTTTGATGGAGAGAGAAAACCCATTCTTCCTGATGAAGGGCCCTGGTCAGAGCAGAAGATAGTTTGTGCTGCTGGAGATGGAATCCATGTGGTCAAGTGCTCCAGAGTGGGTTTTGATGGTCAGACCTGGCAGAAGTAGTTTTCATTTACCTTTGAGATGCCAGTTTAGAAAAAGTATTACGAGGCAGATTTCATACTTCCAAAGAGCTATTTGGCATTCTCATTAACAAAAATTTGATAGCTATTCTGTGGACCCCTGTTAAATTTCCTCAAGAAAAATGGGATGGAAACTCTAAAGGATCTCTGTTCTTCACTCTTCCTGTGCTGCAGGGCGAAAGGCTAACGAGAAGGAGCGGCAGGCGGCCCTGCACGTGGCGGAAGGCTTCATCTCCCGCATGCAGTATGCCGCAAACACTCAGGTGAGGAGGCACCTTGGGCCCCAGGCCCCACTCCTGGGCCTCCTTGTCCAGTGTGGCTGGCCTGTGCTCCCTGGGACCACTGTCCTTGGCTGTGACTGCCCCTGGTAGCCTATTGTTCTGATAGGGCTCATGGATAACAGGTGGCCTCTGCCAAACTGCACTGGTCCTTGAAGCAGGGCTTTCTCAGCCCGGTCCCTGTAACCCGTCTCCTCTCTCTGCGTATCTGGAGGAGCTGCCTGGCCTGGCCTGGCCTGCATGTGCTTGGGCCTTCTGTCCCACACCCTGTTAGTGACAGAGGTGGCAGCTTCCAAGCCAGCCTTCTCCCCACTGTCCTGCAGGTGGAGATTCTGCCCCAGGGCCGCGAGAGTCCCATCTTCAAGCAATTCTTTAAGGACTGGAAGTGAGGGTGGGCGTCCCCCTGCCCCTGCCTGCCTTTGTGTGCTCAGTGTTGAGAAGCCCCGCTGACTTCAATAAAGGAAACCAGTGCCTTCCCCACTCTCCCACTGCCTGCCTGGGTGGGTTTTCATTGTCCCTCCAGACGCTTCACAGTCCCTAGGGCCATGGAGGCAAGGGGGACTAGAGGTGGCCTGGGTCCTGCTGGCTGATGGCCCACGGTGGGGCTGAGAGATAAGCATCATTCTGGTCTGGGCGTCTGCCTCTCTTGCTCCTGGGCAAGGTGCCCCTCTTGTCTTCACCCCGCTTCCTTCTCCTGTGTGTGGTGTGGGGGAGAGACAGCAAAGGGAGGAGCGCCAAGGGGCAGAGGGGTGCTACAGCAGGTGTGGCCTGGACAAGCCTGCAGCCCTGAGGCCAGGCAGGGCTGCGTCCTGAGGCAGTGGTGCTCCCAGCTCCAAAGCTGATCAATTCTTCTTGCTGATTTTGTGCCACACAGCACTAAAAAACCAGCTGCCTTTTGCAGATCCCCACATCCTCCCATCCTTGACCTGACAGGATGCAAGAGCTGATGCCAGGCACAGCTTTGAAAGGCGAGAGGCCAGCACGCACACAGTGGCTCTGGCAATGGTTTTAGATTTACGGAGTACTGCAAGTCCCCATGGAGGACAAGGACATTCCCCAAGGAAAACGCACAGGTTAAGATTTCTGCATCTCCTGTCAAAGGGTTCATTCCCCTCTGGCAGCCCTGTACCTTAACAGCTCCTGGACTACACCACTGGCCACTGCCGAAGGTTTGAGGGAAGCAGCCATGAGCACTATGGTCTGAGGAGCCTCAAGCAGGCCATGAGGGGGAGGAAAGACCACTGCTGCTCCTGAGGGGACAGCTGCTCCCCTTCAGCCAGAGCCCTGGAATGCAGCCTAGCCCCCACAGGTGGGGCCCATGTTCCTAGTGGGCCTTCAGGTGACGGGAGGGAAGGAGGACACCTGACTGAGGCTCCTGCAACGTGGCCCAGGTGCAGCTCTCCTCCCTTCCAAGCCCACTGTGCCCGCATCCCCCTCTGCTGGTCTGAGGGCGCTGCTGCAGGAATTCACAGAACAAAGCCTTGTTTAAGTCCAGCAAAGGTGACATGAGGCAGATGGCAGGGCTTGTCACCAGCCACACTTGGGGGAGTTCCCTTCTGCATCTGGAAGGCCATCTGTCATCCTCACCTCTGGAATGGGTCCCACCTGCAGTGTGTTAGGCCTGGAGGAAGGACGGAGGCATGGAGGGGGCTCTTACCTGCCCCCACCCCCAGCTCGGCTGCTGGCCTGGAGCTGTGAGGGGAGCAACAGAGCCAGGCTTGTCCAGAAGCAAATGCAGGACACCATGCCAGTCTACCCTGATAAGACCCAGGGCCACGATGTCCACTGGCCAGAGCTCGCACCTGCAGCCAGTGAGGATGGGCCTGGCAGGAGCTCAGTGCCGAGTCTGGCCAGGGCACAGACAGCTGCTCCTTCTTGGGCCACGTGCTTCCACCTGCAGGGCTCTAACTGGGACCTGGGACAAGGCACAGGAAGGCCCTGAAAGACGGGTCCTGGAAGGACATGGTGGGGACCAGACCCTCCAACTGGAGCAACTGCTTTATTCTAGAAGTGCTGGTGTGTGAGCAAATTCCTCCTTCCTCGCTCAGGACAGAAAACCATCATGAGGAAGCGTACAGTCTCCCAGGACAAGCCCCTAGCTGGTGGGCAGCTGGGATGGGGCAGCCGGGGCCACCAGCCCAATGCCCATCTCTAGACCACAAACTGAGAGGGGAGGGGAGGCCTGGGGAGGAGCTGCGCCAGATGCCAGTGCTGCCCCCTGCTGGCTGTCATCGCTGCTCCTCCCCCTGGGATTTGACCCAGAGGCAGGGCCCAATGCTGCCAGGGAACCAGAGCTCCAGCTGTCTCCACCTGGCAAGCTCCTGTGCTGTGGAGGAGCATGGCACCCAAGATGGGCTGCTGTGCCTTGCACCACTCACTGCCACGGATGCTGGGATGCAGCCCTGGGGGCGGGAGCACGGGTGGGACGGCAGGACTCTACTTGCTCCGGAGGCAGGTCTGCAGGGAGCAGTCAGGTCTAGTCGCCTGGAGCGGAGCATCTCCCACTGGTGAGGGTACCCAGGCCCAGGAGCTTCCCACCTCATTTGCCGAGGCAGGAAAGCGCCTGGCCTGGCCAGGGGGCTCTAGACGTGGTTTGCCATGTGTCCTTGGAAGCCTGGTGGCCCAGGCTGGGAGTCTTTCTATCAGCTGGTCTCTGGGAGTCTCAGATCAGCCCTGCACCCTCAGAAGAGTGGGGCTGCAGGTCACACACACCTGTGAAGGTGAGATCTGAGGCGCGAGGGGCTTGTGGCCCAGGGTACTTCTGTGCCAACAAGGAGGCCTGTCCCTTTGATGCCCGGGCCAGGTAGCTCTCCAGGGTCTTGAGCAGCCGCCGTGGGCTCTTCTTGGCCAACGCTTCCAAATCTGGAGGAGAGGATTGGGGAAAAGAAAGCTCAAGGAGCTCTGGGTACCCAACAGCCAGGGCGTTGAGCCTAGCAGCTCCAGTGAGCACTCCTAACCCCTGGGCCAGGGAGGCCAACGTGAAAGACCACCTAGGACGGAGAGTACCAAGAGAGCCCAGGCCCATGTGCTGCCTTATCCAGCTGGTCTTAGCTCTCAAGAGTCAGTCCCTTGCTGGACCCTTGGTTCCCATGTTTGATTCAGAAAATGTGACCCCCAGAGGCATATGGCCAGGAAGGAAGGGAGTGGTGGCATAGAACTCACAGCAGCAGGCCCTGGAGGGTGGCTGCTGTGTGGGGGCAGGAGAGGGAGCTGCAGCCTGGAGCAGAAACCACCAGGGTCTCTGGACCTGAGACATGGTTCAGGGGCTGCAGCTCCCCAGGACAAAGAGCACACCTTTGAGAACAAAGCCAGAGTCTGAGATGGTCTTCTGCTGGGTCCTCCAGACGTGGGCAAGGCGGAGGAAAGTGGCAGCATAGAAGCTGTTCACCACGGCAATGACCTTTTGCTGCCGGTTACACTCCCTACGGGAACAGGGAGGTGGCCAGTTAAGCCACAGACGAAGGTAGACACCCGGGCACCCTCCCGTCCTCCCTCCAGGGAGCCCTAGAGGAGCCAGCCAAACCCAGAGTTCCCACTGGTCTTGAGGCGGCTCTGCCCCTGGGCCAAGTCGGGGAGCAGAGGTGGCTGGAGACTGGTGCACAGGGACTCTGCCCAGGCTCTCCAGGACTAGCAGGGTCACACTAACCAGCTGCAGCTGGGCCTCACCTGGAGAGACACTCCTCCCTCAAGGCCTGGATGGCGATGCGGGTGACGTTCACAGACATCAAACAGAAAGGAAACTGCTGGAATGGAGGGGCAGCGGGTCAGTGGCTGCCCAGCCTCACCCTGTTTTACCCTGAGCCCAGCTTGGCCAGAGGCAGTCAGAGGCTGAGGTGGCTGCTCATGCTGTCGTCCCATCTTACAGGTGAGAACACTGAGGTCAGTGGCTCTGAGTGGCTCTCCTAAGGCAGGGAACCAGGGTTCCACTGAGGTTATGTGCTCCGTAGCTGGGGTGTGCTCAGTGGCAGAGCATTTGCCTAGCCAGCATGAGGCCCAGGCTGCTACCCCAGCACAGCACACACAGAAAGAACACTGAACAAAGGCTGTAGTTCAGCTAATACTTTCTTAGTTTTGATAACGGTTCTAGGACTATACAAGGTTATTTCTAGCGGATGGTAAGAGAAAGATATATGGGAACTCTGGGTTACTTTTTCAATTTCTAAGTCTAAAATTATTTCAAAATAAAAATTAAAGTGCATTATTTAGACTTGGCCTCTTTAAGACAATGTGACCCGATGGCTAAGGGTGTGTGGGGTCCCAACAGCTCCCTTCATTCCAACACAGCTTTGCTGCCCTACCTCGTTATTTATTTACTTATTGTACTGGGGATAGAACCGGGTGGCACTTTACCACTAAGTTATATTCCCAGCCTTTTTTGAGATTTTGAGACAGGGTCTTGCTAAAATTCTGAGACTGGCCTTGAACTTGAGGTCTTCCTGCCTCAGCCTCCTGAACTGTGGGAAATCACAGGTGTACATCACCATGCCTGGCCACCTATATATCCTGAATGTATTGAGGCCAAGCTCGTCTTCGCACCTCTGCTTGCAGTGGCCATACACCTCTCCCCAGACCCTCAGGTCACAACTGGTTTTCTGGACCCCAGCCCCACGAGCCTCTGCTAAGCCTTGGTTGGTCCACACCTCTCACCCTTCCTCAACTCCCCAAATCCTGCCACCGTGTCCCTGGCAGAACAGTAGTGCTCCGTGCTCCCTACTCTAGCATGCTGCTGCTGCGCATTAACAGCACGTGTTCCCACACTCACTGACTCGCGGACCTGGCTGTGTGCCCACAGTGCTGCTGTCGCGGGTGTGGAGGGGAGGCACCTCTGCTCTGCAGACCCTTGTACATGCTCCTCCCACAGCCCCCAACTTTCATTGCCACGTCATCAGATGATATTGCCCACTTGCAAATTTCAAGTATTTGGACTTATGTGAAAATAAAAACTACTGAAAAGTATCCTTCCCACTACCATGCCTTGTTTGCTCCCTTTTGTGACAAAATTCCTTGAAAGAGTTGTCTAATTTACCATCTCCAATTTATCCCTCCAATTCCCTCTTACACCCAATCTAAATCAAGGTCTTTTGTGTCTAACCTTCATTGAAAATGCTCACACGAAGGTCCCCGGGGACAAACCCAGACACTGCAGATGCTCCTCTCCGTAGTCAGCACCATCAGCCCAGGTGGCTCAGGCCTGCTCCACTTGGCTTCCAGAGTGGCACCCATCCCTGGGCTCCTGTCCTGCTTTCATCCCGCGCTGCCCACTCATGCTGCAGTGGCTTAGGCTGCCTCACCCCGACAACCACCTTCATTGGAGGTTCCCAGGATTGGAGGTTACCAGGGGTTCCCAGGATCCCTCGCACACGGTGTCCTGCACACGGGGTCCTGGCCCCCTCAAGAGTTTCTGATTCCTGAGGTCTGGGGAGGACGCAGAAGGTCCATTTCAAACAAGTCCCAGGAAGGCTGATGGAGGGCACCTCTGGAGCCACAGGTCTAGCCCACAGCCCTCTCCCTAATTCCACACTCATATATCCAACTGCTTACTAACACTGCCACTTCCAAGTCTGAGGGACCTTTAAAAGTAGGTGTGGAAAATAGAACCCCAGCCCTGTTCTCCTTTTCAGCTGCTTGTACTGAACAACCCCACTGTCTGTTTTCTTAGCCCTAACCCTGCTCGACCCTCAACACAGCTGCTCTACACTCTTATGCCCACACTGACTTCTGTATAATCAGTATCTCCTCTAGAGACCCCCAGCCCGAGCCCCGATCACCACCAGCCTGGACCTGAAGAAAGCTCTCCCTGAACACTACCCTTCACCTTAATTTAACGGTAAGAACAGCTGCTCAAAACCTGTAGCCGCTCTTCATCTGACTCAAGGGAAAACCTGGAGCCCCTCCTGTGGCTGGCAGGCCTGTGGCATCTGGCTGCCACCTCTGGGCCAAGTCTTGCTGCACTCCTGTGTCCCTCCCACTCCCACTGGTTTCCTTGCCATTCTTCCTCTGCCTGGAGTGTCCTTCCCCAACCTCCTTCAAGGCTTGGTGACATCTTGGCTCACCTTTTGTGGGATCCTGTCACCACTCCTCTCTGACCCACCCCACTGTGCCTTCTTAGCACTTGCCGCCTCTCACGCTCTAATGGACCTGGGCACTAAGCCTACGTCATGCCAGCTCTGCAGGGGATCCTGTCTTGCTCCTGAGGCATCCCAAGCTCCATGAGAAGTGACTAACATGGGATGTGAACGACCTCTATGCAGCGGTGAGTGAGCCCCAGCTCCCAGGAACCTGGGCTAGACGAGGGAAGGAAGCAGGTCAAACTCGTCCTCTAAAATGGAGGGACTACCTCCTATCACTGCTTAGGAAACCATCAGCCCTAAGCCCAGAAGGCAGGGCTGGACAGAGAGCAGGACCCTGGTGGTGAGTACAGGGTCAGCTGAGGGCTGACTCCTTGCCTTTAGGGTCAGGAGAAGCCACCAACCCTGAGCAAGGGTCTCCTCAGGGCGCAGAGGGTGAACAGCCTTCCCGTGTGTATCCGGTGCTCTGTGTGCAGTCCCATTTAATTTTCTCAAGGAGTCAGATCCAGTTGCTGGGATCCCCATCATCAGATGAGGAGACCAAGGCTCCACACTGCTGAGAACTTGCTCGAGACCACATCTAATGAGTGGTGGAGTTCAGACTCCAACACATCGTATGACAGGGTCTGACTCACTGTCCGAGAGCCTTAGCATCAGTCTCAACCAGCGAAGTCCTCCCGCCTGCTCAGTTCCTTGCTCCAGAGCCCTCTCCTCTGGCTTCCCACCAAAGCCCACCTGAATGTGGTGACGAGACAGGCGGAAAATCTCCTGGGCCATCAGCAAGGTCTTTGCATCCATCACCAGGTACAGCAAATGCAGGAGGGCAAGGAAGCCCGCCCCTCGAAGGTCTGTGGCTGGATTCGCTCCTACAACAGCCATGAGAAAATTCAACATGATGGTGAGTGGGCTCAACCAAGCCCTGACCCCTTGACCTCCAGGGACTTGCTTGGGGAGCTGCCCTACACCAGCCCCTTTCCGCTGGCTCTCCAGGGCCACCCAGGCCTGTCCCCCGGCATGCTGGGGGCCACCTCCGACAGCAGTTTTCTCTTGCCTGCTTGGCCCTCTGGAGGCATTTAAGAGCCTTTACAAGACATATCTGAACTTCTGGTCCCAGGGAGATGAGTAACACACCCTCCCTGTGATTCCAACAAGAACAGCTGCAACAGCCAGGCGCCTCCGCCGGGCCAGCGCTCTGAATCCTGGAACGACACTGTGGTGAAGTTTTTGGGTTTCTTTTTGCCTAATATATTTCATCCAAAAGCTGGAGAAGAGTGGCAACCCAGAAATGCCAAGGGAAGCATGCGACGCCTTGAATGTATGCCCCAAATTTCATGTGCTAGAAACTTAACCCTCAATTCATATATTGGTGGCTTTGGGTGGTAGGGCCTTTGAGAGGTAACCAGGCTGCGATGAGGCCACCAGGGTGGGGCCTCCACGAAGGGACTGGCAGCTTCACGTGAAGAGGAGCGACTCAGGGGATGTACTTCTCTGTCAGGCCATGTGCTATCCTCTGCCATGTCATGTCACAGCAGGACGGCCCCAGCCAGAGGCCCAGCAGACGGGATGCCACACTCTTGACCTTCCCAGCCAATATACTCACGAGCCAGATTCACTTCCATTTTTAAAGAAGGTATTTTGTTATAGCAACAGAAAACAGATTAAGGTAGCACAAATAGAGAAAGACCCAAGAAAGCCTGCTGTTCTGGCTAAAGGGCCAGGAGAGGAGCAGCCTAGCAAGAAAGAACATTTTATTTTTATTTATTTATATTTTTGGTACTAGAGACTGAACCCAGGAGTGCTCAACCCCTGAGCCACATCCCCAGCACTTTTTATGTTTTATTTTGAGATAACATCACATTAAGCTTTTAGGGCCTTGCTAAATTGCTGAGGCTGCTCTTGAATTTATAATCCTCCTGCCTCAGCCTCCCAAGCTGCTGGGATTACAGGCATGCACCTCCACGCCTAGCCAAGACATAACACTTTAGATAATAACCATCCTATCCAGCCAAACAGGACAGAGAAACATGTCCCCACTCCTACTCCTCAGCAAAGGCCCCACAGGGGCCTGAACTTCTGCCCTGACCTGTCTGTAACGAGGCACTTTTATTCTCCCAGTGGTAAGGAGCAACCCTGCCCTCTCTGCACAGTCAGTGGAGGTCATGTGAAAGTAGCTGTGAAGTACTCCTGCCCCTCCCAGCCAGTTTTGTCCAGAGGCCCAAAGGGACACTTGGGCTTTACCCAGTGAGGTGACAGCCCTCCTTTCCCCACTGGCATGGCATCCGAGGAGGCCTGCTAGAATGGGAGATATAAATGAGATCCAGAGTGTCTTCACACAATACTCAAAATGTCCAGGATGTAACAGAAAACTACACACGAAGCTGAGAACAGGATGATCTAATTTCTCATCCTCAGTGCGCATGAGAAATGACCCTCAATAGACACAATGCTAAGGTGACACAGAGCTGGGGTGACCTGGCGAGGCTTTCAGAGCAGCCATTGTAGGCAGAAGAATGCCTCACACCTCCATCTCCAGTACCTCCGAATACACTGCATGGGAAAGAGATTAAGATGCTCATCAGCAGAGCAGGTGACTTTCCTGGGCTCTCGGGGAGGGCCCAGTGTGGTAAGAAAGGTCCCTAAGAGCAGAAGAGGGAGGCACAAGCACAGGGCCAGAGAGAGGGTGGCTCATAGGAGCTGTTTCTGGCTCTGAGAAGAAGGAATGCAGGAGGCCTCTGGAAAATGGGAAAGACAAGAAGTGGATTTTCCCTTAGAGCCTCCAAAAAGGAGGGCTGCCCATGAAGCCTTGATCTGCGTGGGACCTCTGGACTGCAGAATCAGAGGACAGTGAACATGCTGTGTTATTCCAAGCTACGAAACTGGAGATTTGTCACAGCAACAGCAGAAAACTACCACAGCAGCTCTGCCTCTCAAGAGCCATTATGAATGAATATACTTTGCCTTTTCTCTTTTCAGTGCTGGGGATGGAAGCCAGGGCTTTGTGCACATTAAGCTCGTACCCCACCTCTGAGCTACGCCTCTAGTTCCACTGAAGAAATACTAATAAGAAAAAAACAAATGGAAACTTTAGAAATGAAAAAATACATCAAATAAATCTAAACATTGGAGATAAAGAATGAGAGATCAGTGACTATGAAGGTGGAACAAATAAAATTACCCCATCTGAGCAAGAGTACAGGGGAAAGAGCAGAAATGAATGAAGCCTGGGAGATCTACTAGGTTGTAACAAAGATCTAAAGAATGAGCAGAAAGCACTGGGGATGTGGCTCAGTGGTACAACAGCTGCCTAGCAGTGCGAGGCCCTGGGTTCAATGCCCACAACCACAAAACCCAACAGCAGCAAAGGTCTAACTTTGTGGCCTGAGCACAAGAGAAGACAAAGTCTGAAGAAGTATTCAAAGTAATCATGGGTGGAAATTTACCAAATTTCACAAAGGACAAAACTGACAGATTCAAGCAGTTGAGCTAACCCCAAGCATGTTCTGGTCAAAATCCTGAAATTTAAAGACAAAAGCTAGGCCTGATGGGCGCCTACCTGTAATACCAGGCCAAGACAGGAGGACTGCAATTTCAAGGCCAGCCTCAGCAATTCAGCAAGGCCCTAAGCAACTTAGCAAGACCCTGTCTCAAAATAAAAAATAAAAATGGAATGGGGATGCGACTCCTGGGTTTAATCCCCATTATTAAAAAACAAACAAACAAACAAACAGACAAAAGATCTAGGAAGCATGGACAGAACCACACTTCTTAGTCATAGGGGAGGAAGTCAAGCACCCGTGGACTGTGGACTTCTCACCAGACACCACGAGGCCAGAGGGAAGCAGTGCACCTTCAAGAGCTGAAGGAGAAACAGGCTAACCTTGGCACCCACAGACCTCCGAGGAGGGGAGATGGAGGCATTCTCAGGTGAAGGGAATCTCTATAAACTTTCTTCCCAGGAGACTAGGAGAGGAAGTCCTGGAATACGAGGAGGGAAGAACAAGGCGAGGAGCAAGTAGGTGCATGGGTGGGACGCCAAGGCCCCTGTGGCTTATTTTTGTGTTGGGAAGGGAACCCAGGGCCACCATACGCTGGGTGAGCGCTCCACCACCAAGCTGCGCCCCAGCCCTCCCTCCAGAGTTTTTGACATCATGTTTGATGGTGGAAGCAATCAACTGTCTGGTGTGGTTCTCAATACGCAGGAAGGACAACTAAGCTAAACAGGCTTAAACACACTGCCACTACCACCAGATTATAACCAAGTGTGGATACGTAAAGCCTTTTCTAATTAAGGTCATTTGCTATCCCATACAAATATAACCTGATATGATTTTGAAAAAAAGGTATTGTTATGGGTCAAACTATATGTGCCTTGACCAAACAAACTCCATTTTACCCCGAGACTCCATTTCACATAAGAAATGCTTTTCCCATGTGAAACCCTGCTACGTAACCCACCTCCTGCTAAGCACACGCTGTTATTCTTATACAACATATTAAGTTCTCTTTTTAATTCCCATTTTTCTTGAGCAGTGTACTACTATACTCTGAAGTGCACTTCCTACTTTGCTATGTTTTGACTTACTGGTAGCTCATGGTTTCGGGCTATAAAAGAGATACCCTACTTTCTGCAAGGGATCAAGATACGCAGAGGCAACTTAGTTACTGCCCCTTGGCCCCTGCTTCAAGACTGACCCAGTGATTCCCAAACATGCCACAAATGTATCACCCCAAACAAGTGAGATCGTCTTCCTTTAATTTTAAAAATATATAATAAGATTTTCACTAGAAAAAGAGCACAGAACCCAAATCAATCCTATTCCAGGTCCTGTCGCTCCTGAGGGTCGCCTGGGGTCTTTCCCCTCCTGACCTCGACCTCTGCCTTTGCTGTGCCCTTGAGGTGTCTCCCCCATCCTGCCTCACACTGCTGGCGCAGCCTCTTCCCTGGTCCTGGGACCAGGGGCAAGCAAGGGGAAAGTGCATGTCTCCTTACCCTGGAAGCCAAGGTCCTCCCAGTGGTCTCCCCGGAGGGCGCAGTCCAGCTTGGAGCCAGTCAGCTTCTTGTAGATGGTCTGGAGCACACGGCCATGCACTGGGTCTTGGCTGTCCAGGCCACCTGTCCCCCAAAACACCAATGCTTTGCCGACTATCCTGTGGGAGGACTGGGTACTCAAGACACCCTCCTCTCAGCTCCAGCTCCCATCTGCCCTCAGGTGCATGCAAGAGCCCTGGCCTGGCCTTGGATGAGTGGCAAAGTGCTCTATCCCAGCACCCAGACAGTGTGTGCCCTGTGGCAGTCCCGACACTCACACTGGGCAATGGTCAGGACCAAGTCCCTTTCTTCCCTAAGGCCCTGGTGGAGCTTTGGAGGTCCAAAGAGGCAGTGCCGGAGGGCGGCGAGCCCAGTCCTTCGAACAGTTGGCTGTATTCTCTTCTGGGGAGAAAGATTACAGGTAATGGGCCGAGGGCCAGCTTAGCCTGCCTTATAGAACTGACCATCATCTGGGGTCAGTTGGCTTCCCAGTTAGCATCTGCCTCTGGGAAGTGAAAGAAGGCAGAGATTGCCAAGAACCCTCCAGCCTCCCAGCGGCTCTTCCAGCTTCTCTGTAGGGAGAAAGAGGCGCCCTGAGGTTGGCATTCCCTGCCAGTTCTGTGCACTTGGTCCTTTGGAATTTTCCAGCACTAGCTCTTCCAGTGACTCCTGGGATGCCCAGCTCTGAGGAATCCCCATGTAGTCAGACAAAAAGGTGGCCAGGGTTCCCAGCAGGGCTGCCCCTACCCTTTACAAGGGGCTTAATGGGGACTCACTGGTGTGAGAAGCCTCTGAGGTGTGGCTGCAGCCCTGGCCATGACCAGCGCCTCCTAAGCTCGGTTGTGCTGGCTCCTTATGGTCAGGACCACTGCTGCTAGCCTTAGAACATTCTTTTTTCTTTTGTTTGAGGGGTTGGGTATGGAGCTCAGGGCCTCACACACGCAAGGCAAAGACAAATGCTCTACCACTGAGCCCACCTCCAGCCCCGGCCTGGGGATACTCCAATCTGGGTAGCTTCTGACTCTCTGGACTCTACTGACCACCACAACTCCTGAGCCAGGTTCCATGCTGACGATCTGCACCTGCCTTCTTCTCAACTGACTGCTAAACACTCAGGATGTCCCAGAAAGCCCAGCCTAGATTCCCCCATACTCCCTCCTTTTCTAACCCCACATATTTCTTAAGTTTAGCCGGCGGCCAGCACAGGCTTCATAGATGAAAGTTCAGAATATGAGAAATCGCTAGGGAGTTTTGAATTAAAGAGACAGACTCTAATCACCTTTAAACCAGATCCAGGACAGCTTCTCCTAGCTCCAGCCTCCAGCCACCTATTGTGGTAGTGAGGTTTACTGAAGAGGCTAGCGAGAGAGTGAGAACACGCCAGGGAGTGGACTTTTATTGGGGAACAAAAAATTCTGGGGAAAATCCCATCCAATGAAGATTAGGGGGGGGCAATGTCCCAAGGTCAGGGGCGATGACTGGGTGGCCAGGCACACCTCCACACAGACAAGCCCTCGGACCTGAGAAGGATGGGGAAAGCTCTGGACACAAGATGTGCCTAAGCGCCTCTCGCCCAGCCAGGGAGGTAACTCAAATCACGTTCAAGGATGGCCTCCCACACTTAAGATTCCTAAGTGGCTCCTGGATCCTTCAGGGAGCTTGCCTCCATTGGCTATGACTCACTCAGCTCCTTGGACAGCTGTGTTGCCTCCCCAAGGCGCTTCCTGGTCCTTGGTTACCACCTCCCATCACTAAGAGGGAAGAGCAGGGGACAGCTGCACAGGCCCCTGAAGGACAGGGCCACAGGAACTCCACAGGCACAGTCCCACAAAGCTACCAGTGCCCTGATGAGTCATGGGCCCTGGTCACTTGAGATCCTGTGCTCCAGTGTTCCCTAGGTGAGATGAGGCCCTCACACGGAAGCTTCCAACTTGCTGGCCCAGGGCCCTATCCTGGAGGGAGGGGAACTCGGCTCCTGGGAAGCAGGAGCCTTCTTGAGAGCCCAACCCTCCCTGTTACCTTGAAGGAAGAGAGGTCCAGAGTCTGGAGGTGCTGCAGGGCCTCCCCAAAGGAGATGAGCTGTCCAGGCTGGTCTGAGCAGCGCCAGCTTTCTGTGGCAAAAGGGAGGATACTTGAGGACTTGTAACAGTTGTCATTCTGTCTGCAGACCTTTACCTAGAGCCTCCTGGTTGTCACCCTGGAGCCAAGCACTGGCTTCCAGTTGAACATCAGACACCCACAGCCACAGCCTTCCTTTCTTTATTTTATTTTATTTTTTAGTTTTAGAACTAAAATAAATAAAATATCTTTATTTTTATGTGGTGCTGAGGATCAAACCCAGTGCCTCGTACACGCCAGGTGAGCACTCTACCATTTGAGCCACATCCCCAGTCCCTGCCTTCCTCTTTCAAGGAGCTGGCTTTACCTGCTGGACTGGACTGTTCAGAGTTGCTAGCTGCCCTCTGCACTGAGTAGAGAGAGAGGTGACCTGCAAGGGTCCCCAAATTCTACCCATCTTTGAGGGAGTAAGTCACTGCCTGGAGTGGGTACCCTCAAGGGAGTGTGCTCCAGGTTTGCTCAGGGGCATTCCTGATTTCTACTCTGTCCTTCCCACACCATGCAGGCCCTTCTCCTATCCTGTTACAGCCTGCAAGGAATTAGCTTACTGTTCTCCCTAGAGGAGATGGCTAATGCTATTCCCTGTTGCATCTCTCTAGGAGCTTGATGGAGCTCAGGCTAGGTCCAGGTTCTAGCTCGACCCTCCCACACCTCTATCTGGACCTCTCAGAAACAGACTTGGGGCCATTTGTTCCCAGACCTCAGAGCACTCCCATAGATGGCTTTACCCTGTCCCCATAGCCCTCTTGAATAGTGAACGACCTGACCATCCTGTGTAGGGTCCCTGCTGCCTGCCCTATCCTCCACACCCTGCAGAGGCTGCCCCTACTCAGGGTCCTCCTTGCCTCCCTCAGGGCTAGGTGGATGGCAGGCAGTGCTGGCAGCCCTGGTGTTCATCTCCATTCCCCTGGAGGTAGAACATCACCATCCTTGGGTTTGGAAAGAGATTTTATTCTATGTCATACTGCTAAAACGAGAACACTCAGGAATCATCTCCTAATCCCAGAGCCCCAGAACTACTCTAGGTGCCCTCGCTTACCTGCCTCGGGGTGGATGGTGTCCACGGCCTCCCATTCCTCCTGGGCCTGGAGCACCTCTGCACTCACGACTGCAAAACAAAGGGAGCACTCCTGAGACAGGGCCAGCTTGCCTGCCATGGGCTGCCGGCTCCCAAGGCCTGCCAGAGTGGGCTTTTGGAAGGCAGCACTGGTGTCCTCCAGCTGCCTTTCCAGGCCACCACCCCCACAGAAAGTCCTCCCTCTGCGGGACACACGTGAATCCCTCACAGTCCAGAGCCTTGCCCCCTTGCTGCCTGGGGACCAGCTGGGTCCTCAACTCGCTCTGCCTTCTCCGCCCTTGGGTCCTCCCAGACTGCTAGCCAGGAAGCTCAGATCCCTGCTGGTTAGCTCCTCTCACTGTAGGTGGGCTCCCGCGCCTCCCTCCCTGACAGCTCCTCTGACCTCAGGTCTGGACTAGGAGACCTGATGCTCGCCATAGTGTCCTAGCTGTCTCCCGCTGGGCGGTGAGTCACAGGGCAGGGTTCGCCAGACCCCAGCACAGTGCCACACGCATGGCAGGGGCTCTGCAAATGCCAGATGAACTAATGTACTTCCATGACAGTGGAAAGCAGGAGCAAAAGGGCAGCGGCCACTATACAGTCTTCTCTCCAAACCACAGCTGCCACTCTAGCCCAAACTGCTGGGGCACCTTCTGTCACAAGTGTTTCTAGTTTCTAGGTGTGACATCAACCAACAACATGAAGGATGGAGACTTCACTAACAACAGCAAGGACCACAGGTAGGCTAGGATGGCTCCTCCTGCCTCACTGTATCGGTGAGGCCCTCATGTGCTGAGGAAATATCTGGAGAGTACTATGGTTTGGACATGGCTTAAGTGTGTTCCTGAGTAGAACCCTTCCAGTGTTGAGATTCAATTCTACTGTGAGTGGTTAAGAGTGGGGACACAGTCTGACTCTCCTACTCAGAGGTGGGATCCTCAGGAGGTGACTGGGATTAAATAAGGACATCATGGTGGAGCCCAAGATTGAATACTAGGGGCTTTATAAGAGAGGCCAGAGGAGACACACAGGTGTGATCCCGATCTCCTCCCTTGATATGTCCCACACCATCTTGGGCCTGCCAGCAAGGCGATCACCAGAGGCATCCTCAACCTTGCAACAGAGCTGAGCCAAAATAAACCTCTCTTCTTTATACTCACTCAGCCTCAGCTATTTCACGACAGTAATGAAACATAGATAAAGAAATAAGTATACTTGCAGGTTAAATGCCACCAAATGCTAATGGAAATGAGAAGAGACAGTGGCAGAGAAGCAACAGAGAAGAGTGGCTGAAAGCACACCTGACAGCCAGACGAGGTGTAAAGGTGAGACCCCCATGGCCCACTGGTTGTGCTTCTTGGATGAGTTACTTAGTCAATTGTACCTCTTCTGCAGCCACTGGAGAGTGCTGCAGCCCAAAGGTTAGGGTTCAGTAAACACTAGCTATTACTACTGACACAGACACGGGCTCAGGCACAGCCGACTGCGGGCAGTGGCAGCAGGTGAGATGGGCCCGCCTGTGGGGACCTCAAGGAAACCCTGTCTTTGCCACCTCCAGTCTGAGGCAGCAGACACTGAGACTGAGGGCTTCCAAGGTAGACAACTTCACACAAATACTTGACCTTGGATGGTCAAGAAAATAAAACTTGCCTTCATAGCTATCAAGAATACAAACAACAGGGGGCTAGGGATGTGGCTTAAGCAGTAGCGCGCTCGCCTGGCATGTATGCGGCCCGAGTTCGATCCTCAGCACCACATACAAACAAAGATGTTGTGTCCGCCGAAAACTAAAATAATAAATATTAAAAAATTCTCTCTCTCTCTTAAAAAAAAAAAAAAGAAATGGTAACATGCCTTGGAAGCTTTAAAAATAAAGAATACAAACAACAATAAATTTGATGAGGATGTTGGGAGGAAGGCACACTCATACATTGCTGGTCGGACTGCAAATTGGTGCAACCAATCTGGAGAGCAGTTATGGAGATTCCTTGGAAAACTTGGAATGCAACCACCATTTGACCCAGCTATCCCACTCCTTGGTTTATATCCAAAGGACTTAAAATCCACATACTATAGTAATGCAGCTATATCAATGTTCATAGCAGCTTAATTCACAATAGCTAAACTGTGGAAACAAACTAGATGCCCTTCAATAGAAGAATGGGTAAAGAAACTGTGATATATATACACAATGGAATATTACTCAGCATTAAAAGAGAATAAAAGTATGATATTTTCAGGTAAATGGATGGAGTTGGAGAATATCATGCTAAGGGAAATAAGCCAATCCTAAAAAACCAAAGGATGAATGTTCTGATAAGTGGATGCTGATCCATAACGGGGGCTGGGCATGGGAAAAATGGAGGAACTGTGATTGGGCAAAGGGGAGGGGAGGAGGTGAGGAGGCATTTGGGCAGGAAAGATGGTGGAATGAGATGGACATTATTACCCTAGGTACATGTGTGACTATACATATGGTGCAACACTACATCGTGTACAACTAGAGAAATGAAAAGTTGTGCTAATATTGTGTACAATGAATCAAAATGCATTTTGCTGTCATATATACCTAATTAGGAAAAAAACAAAACAAAAATTGCCTTTAGCATGCAGGGCCCCTGGGAGATCAAATGAGGAACAAAGTGACTAGCCAGAAAGGGAGAAATGGAACAACCACAAGGAATGCCTATGGTCTAAGCGAATGTCCCCACCTTTATCCCCACCTTCCTGTGGCTATGATTCTTCACCCTCAGACCTTCACCTCCAAGCACTGACATCAATCTTTCACCCTGTGTTCCCTTACCCATAAATGCTTCACCAAAGCCTGTGAGCAAGGAGTAGAGAGCTCAGCAGCAAAGGGGTAAGGATTTTCTGTCACCACAGGTTAGACAACAGAAAGTACTAGCTCTTGGCTAGCAGTGTCAAGGGCTGGGATGCAGTTCACTGGTAGAGCACCTGGCTGGCACGGGTGAAGCCTTAGGTTCCGTCCCAACCCTGGGGGAAAACCAAACACAAGCACTGAAACCCACTAGAGATACCAGGCCAGCACCTACAAACTGGAGATAACACCCAAACCACTTAAGAGCTTTTCCAGTCCTCTTAGAGACCCTCCTGTTTCCAGAGAAAATCCTGACCAACAGAACACCACAGGGCAAAGAGCAGACCTTTAGGGAACTGGTTCAGCTTAGATTAGTACAGGTGCTTTTCCTTTTGAAGTGTCTGCTTTATTTTACCTCTCTTCCATGTATTCATAAGTGAAACAAAATTGTTGATTTAGTCATCCTGTGTAATTGAAATTAGCTAAGAACAATATGAAAAACTTTTAAAATATGATAAAAAGTATCTGGCACAAAAAATTTAATTATAAAATATTTGGTATTTAAGGTAAAAGTTATTTACTAATGTTGGGTTTGTCACCATACAGTATGGATGATATTCTATTAAGAGAACTTTGTAGATGCCCAAATAATTTTTCTACATTACAATATTTATAAAAGCTCCATATTTCTGGAGGTTATATTTTAGTGTGTAAGACTTAAAGTTAACAATACATACCAATGAGTACTTACCACAATCCATATTTTTTGGTATAAAGCACTTTATCTACATTATCTCACTTAATCCTTACAAAACTCCCATCATACATATTCTTACACAATCTGTTCATTTTTTCTTTCATTTCTGCAGTGCTGGGCCTCTTACATACTAGGCTCTACCACTGAGCCACCACCCACCCCCACCTCCGTTAGAGGAAAGGATTAAAAAGGTTAAGTGATTTCCTCCAGGTTATGTAAGTGAGAGAGCCAGAATTTAAACTATAGACATATGACTCCACAATGGCTGCTTCTGAGCTAGTGAGGATCTCTCTCCATAATAAATCAGCAAGTTGAATGAACTTTATAGAGTACAGGGCAGTACCATGGAAAGCAGATAAAACAGGAGACTACTCCAACACCTTTTCACAAATGTGGACTCATCTTTGCACTATCCCTTTGAGGATGAGAGAGACCAATATTTCTACTTTAGGCAGAGATTACATGATTTTCCCAGAGGCACACAGTGAACTAGTAGCAGAGAAACTCACTCCTGATCCAGTATTGATTCTAATTATCCTTGAGGAACATAAATCCACAAAATTCTGAAGGATAAAGAATATAAGAAATTCCAATGATAAATGATAGATCCATACAAGGTCTGGCTTAGGCCCCACCCCGATTCCAGGGCCCAGAGAAGTCCTTACCACCTGGCTCCCATCCATTAGTTTCTGCCGTCAGGGCCCGGAGAACATCATGAGTCTTCAACGCTGAGATCTGTGGGGCAGGTCACCTTTAGAGAGAGGGCAGAATCCATGTGCCCCATACACACAAATATTTCCCACCCACTCACACTGAATATCCTTGAAACTGGAGGCCAGAGGCTCTGGTGATCCACTGATAGGTGGATTAAATTTTTTTGTTTTGGGGGGTAGGGGGTGCATGCTGAAGATTGAGCTCCCATAGCCCCAAAGTCTATTTTAAAGGAGTGCCTGGAAAGCTCCAATTACAACGTGGAAGCTGGGCAATGTGGGGACAAGTGCATGTGTTCTTTGATAGTGAATGAACAGACATTCATACAACACCTTGAGACTACAGAGTGCCTTTGTACTGCACTGCCTTACACTCTGCTTCCTACAGCAGCTACCTTACTAGACAGAAGTAGTGTGGCTTGTCTGCACCCCCACCTCCACTGTGAGCCCCTGGAGGGCAGCACCTATGCCAGCCCATGTCCCCAGTGCCCAGCACAGCACTGGCCTATAAAGCAGCATGGAGCAAAGGCCTGTGCTGGCAGGAGGCACCGAGCGTGGGTGATACGTACAGGAATTCCTCTGAAGTCCATGAGAGCACCACCATTCTTGTCATGAGCCGCAGAATGCCCAGGAGATACTCTTTTAACCTGTGAGACAGGCCAGGGTCAATCTCCTAGGACATAACAGTTCCCCAAGGACCACAGTTTAAATGCTGCACCTTTACCAAGAATCACAAAAGACATGAACTCCAGGGAACTGTCATGAAGAACTTCTATTTAATATGGTGAGAAGAAAAACGGCAGGCTGGGGAGATAGTGTGGTGGAAGAGCTCTTGCCTACTGTGTGCAAGGTCCAGGTTTGAGCCCCAATAGCATGAAGAAGAAGAAGAAGAAGGAAGAGGAGGAGGAGGAGGAGGAGGAGACGACGATGGCGACAGCGGTGGTGGCGGCAGTGGCTAGGTGCTGTGGTGCACACCTGTAATCCCACCAGCTTGTGAGGCTAAGGCAGGAAGATTTGAGTTCAAAGCCAGCCTCAACAACAGCAAGGTGCTAAGCAAAATACAAAATAGGGCTGGTGATGTGGCTCAATGATTGAGTGCCTCTGAGTTTAATCCTTGGGATCAAAAAAAAAAAAAAAAAATCAAAAAACAACAACAAAACAAAACAACCCTCAAAACTAAACTCACCTGAAAAAGGCAAAGGATTTGGACATTTTACACAAAAGGAAACGTGTCATCCTTAAACATGAACAAATGCTTAAACTTCCACATGAGAAAAATGCCAACTAAAACTACTCTAGAGATAATGCTGCAGTTGTCAGATTATCAAAGATCAGAGTGTGAGAGCTGGAGCTCAGTGACACAGCCCTTGCATAGCATGTGGAAGGCCCTAGGTTCAGTTTCCAGCCCAGCCACTGCCCTCAAAACGAACAAACAACCAGCCAACAAAAAAGTCTGCTAAGATTGTTGGCTAGAGCGCCCACACAGGGGAGTTGACGGCACTGACCAGACCACACACCACACACCCCAGCTTGGCACCTGAATTCTAGTGCCTCACGCACCAGACACTCATCCCTGTGCAAAACAACATGTACCTTGACAGTGTCACTCACTGCAGCACCGTTCATAATAGCAAGGGCCTGAAGGACCCTCCAAGTCCACCAATGCACTGATTAAGACACCTACTGCCCAGGAATCCAGTGACACATGCAAGACTGTGAAGAAGGAGGAGGATGCCTGGTGGGGCCATCTCCACGGCTTCTCAAGGAAAGGCAGAGCAGACTGTGCAGGTCACCTCGACACTGTCTTCATAAACCCATAAGCACCTCTGAATGACTATGTCCAGAGTTACACCCCAGGAGGCAGATAGATCCATACAAGCAGGAAAACCAAATAGTGGGGGACAAAGATGGAAGCTAGTTTTCACTATATGTATATCCCTTGTAATATTTAGATTCGAACCACATGAATGTTTTCTCTAAATTAAAGAAAAAACAGTAATTAAAAGAAAACAATTAACAAAGAAAGAAATCAACACTTATGTCAAGGCCCTGAAATCCTAAATTATCCCGTTACTCTAACCCTCCTGTTAATTTTTGGTAACTAACACTCCTTACACACAGCTTTGACTTCTTTATGTCCTGGAAGCAAGAATGGCAGCCCAGGCTTCTCACCCTTGAGACACCATGCATTCTCTCTTGAATGTGTATCTATCTTCCTAAATAAACTCGTGTTTATGCCTTTATTTTTATTTTTTTAAAGATATTTTATTAGTTGTTGGTGGCCTTCTATTTATTTCTATGTGGTGCTGAGAATTGAAGCCAGTGCCTCACACATGCCAGGCAAGCACTCTACCACTGAGCCACAACCCCAGCCCCTATGCCTTTAATAAAAAAAAAAAAAAAAAATGGCAACCCAGGCATATCACGGCTGACCAGAACCCCCTCCCCTCAAAACTGGCCTGTGTCAGTTATCACTATTTGCAGATGACATGATTCTATACCTAGCAGACCCAAAAGGGTCTACAAAGAAACTATTAGAGCTAATAAATGAATTCAGCAAAGTGGCAGGCTATAAAATCAACACGCATAAATCAAAGGCATTCCTGTATATCAGCGACAAATCCTCTGAAATGGAAATGAGGACAACCACTCCATTCACAATATCCTCAAAAAAAAATAAAATACTTGGGAATCAACCTAACAAAAGAGGTGAAAGACTTATACAATGAAAACTACAAAACCCTAAAGAGAGAAATAGAAGATCTTAGAAGATGGAAAAATATACCCTGTTCATGGATAGGCAGAACTAACATCATCAAAATGGCGATATTACCAAAAGTTCTCTATAGGTTTAATGCAATGCCAATCAAAATCCCAACGGCATTTCTTGTAGAAATAGAGAAAGCAATCATGAAATTCATATGGAAAAATAAAAGACCCAGAATAGCAAAAACAATGCTAAGCAGGAAGTGTGAATCGGGCGGTATAGCGATACCAGACTTCAAACTATACTACAGAGCAATAGTAACAAAAACAGCATGGTACTGGTACCAAAACAGGCGGGTGGACCAATGGTACAGAATAGAGGACACAGAAACCAATCCACAAAACTACAACTATCTTATATTTGATAAAGGGGCTAAAAGCATGCAATGGAGGAAGGATAGCATCTTCAACAAATGGTGCTGGGAAAACTGGAAATCCATATGCAACAAAATGAAACTGAATCCCTTTCTCTCGCCATGCACAAAAGTGAATTCAAAATGGATCAAGGAGCTTGATATCAAATCAGAGACACGCCGTCTGATAGAAGAAAAAGTTGGCTACGATCTACATACTGTGGGGTCGGGCTCCAAATTCCGCAATAGGACACCCATAGCACAAAAGTTAATAACTAGAATCAACAAATGGGACTTACTCAAACTAAAAAGTTTTTTCTCAGCAAAAGAAACAATAAGAGAGGTAAATAGGGAGCCTACATCCTGGGAACAAATCTTTACTCCTCACACTTCAGATAGAGCCCTAATATCCAGAGTATACAAAGAACTCAAAAAATTAGACAATAAGATAACAAATAACCCAATCAACAAATGGGCCAAGGACCTGAACAGACACTTCTCAGAGGAGGACATACAATCAATCAACAAGTACATGAAAAAATGCTCACCATCTCTAGTAGTCAGAGAAATGCAAATCAAAACCACCCTAAGATATCATCTCACTCCAGTAAGATTGGCAGCCATTATGAAGTCAAACAACAACAAGTGCTGGCGAGGATGTGGGGAAAAGGGTACACTTGTACATTGCTGGTGGGACTGCAAATTGGTGCAGCCAATTTGGAAAGCAGTATGGAGATTTCTTGGAAAGCTGGGAATGGAACCACCATTTGACCCAGCTATTCCCCTTCTCGGTCTATTCCCTAAAGACGTAAAAAGAGCATGCTACAGGGACACTGCTACATCGATGTTCATAGCAGCACAATTCACAATAGCAAGACTGTGGAACCAACCTAGATGCCCTTCAATAGACAAATGGATAAAAAAAATATGGCATTTATACACAATGGAGTATTACTCTGCATTAAAAAATGACAAAATCATAGAATTTGCAGGGAAATGGATGGCATTAGAGCAGATTATGCTAAGTGAAGCTAGCCAATCCCTAAAAAACAAATGCCAAATGTCTTCTTTGATATAAGGAGAGTAACTAAGAACAGAGTAGGGACGAAGAGCATGAGAAGAAGATTAACATTAAACTGGGATGAGAGGTGGGAGGGAAAGAGAGAGAGAAGGGAAATTGCATGGAAATGGAAGGAGACCCTCAGGGTTATACAAAATTTCATACAAGAGGAAGTGAGGGGAAAGGGGAAAATAATACAAGCGGGAGAAATGAATAACAGTAGAGGGGGTAGAGAGAGAAGAGGGGAGGGGAGGGGAAGGGAGTGGGGATAGTAGAGGATAGGAAAGGCAGCAGAATACAACAGACACTAGTATGGCAATATGTAAATCAATGGATGTGTAACTGATGTGATTCTGCAATTTGTATACGGGGTAAAAATGGGAGTTCATAACCCACTTGAATCAAAGTGTGAAATATGATATATCAAGAACTATGTAATGTTTTGAACAACCAACAATAAAAAAAATTAAAAAAAAAAAAAAAAAACTGGCCTGTGTCCAATGTGTCACTGTCCAGAGCAACCCAGCCAACACACTTGCAGCAGTTGCTCTCCTGACCTTCGACCCTTGATCCGACTGGTTTTTGTGCAGAATGTACCCCACCTCTGCCTTCGGTATCCCTTCCAGCTGGGTTCTAGTGTCTCAGTGGCCTGCTTCACCAATTGGGGCTATAATGGTGCCTTACTTCTCCTCTGGCCCTTGCACAAAGTTCCCAGTAAAAGGCCCACACAGGGATCTTCTCTTACATTTCTTTGATGCTTCCCTGCCACCCTGCCCTCTTTTTTTTTTTTTTTGGAATTAGGGACTGAACCCAGGGATGCTTAGCCACTGAGCTACATCTCCAGCTCTTTTGAAACAAGACCTTACTAAGTGGATGAGGCTATCCTTGAACTTACGATCCTCCCGCCTGAGCCTCTTGAGTTGCTGGGGATTATAGGTGTGTGCCATTGTGTCTGATCCCACACCTCTTAACACAGCACAAAGGTATGAAATATGTAACTAAATTTTTTTCTTCAAATTTTGCTTCACTTAAATAAATAAAGATTAAATAAAAAAGAAATCTTGCTTCAAAAAAATTTTGTGATTCATGATGCTAAACAACTCCCTGCAGGAATCTACATACCCAGGATTCACCCTGTCCTTTCTCCTCTACACTTTAGGCACCTCTATGTCCAGAGACCTCCTTCTGGAAGAACAGCTCACCTGTCTTCCTACAGTGGGGAAACTTTCCTAGATTTTCAAAGCAAAACTGTATCCTTGTTCTGGCCACTGAATCCCACAAGCTAAATTGAAGACCATTTCTTCTGGAGATAAGGTGGAAGGAAAGGTACAGAATGCAGGATTCGCTGTCAAGCCCAAGGAAGATACAGCACAGTGAACCAAGAGGCCTGAGGATAATCAGGCAAGCAGTATTTGACAGGGAGGAGGACAGTAAGGTATGTCATACTGATGAGCTGCAGACTTCTTGGGGGATTTCTCAATGAAATTTTCTCCCAACCCAAGCAAACAAAAATAAACTTTCATAAGCCACTTAGAAATCAAGTTTTCAGGAAAGGCAGATGATGCAGAGGTGAACAGAATCTCCTTTTCTGTAGTGCTGGAGAGGGAACCCTGGGCCTCCTGCATACTAGTTTAACACTCTGTCACTGACCAACACCCCAGCCCAGGATCTCCTTTAACAGGACAAAAAGCTATGAGATTTTTTTCCCTAAGTATTTCTAAAACTTCACATTCTTTGATATCTTGTCTCATTATTAACAACATATCTGTAACCGACATCTTCTTTCCCCAAAGGCATGCTTACCTGCCCGTCTTTTAATTCTTTTTCATTATAGAAAGAGCAAAATTTTTCATTCATGACTCAAAATCATTTGTTCCCGCGAGCTTTGTCTTGGGCTCAAAAAGGGGTTCGCGGAGGTCTGATGATGCTACAGGACAGCCAGAGGTCCGCCGGTTCTACCTTGGCTCTCCTCCCTGCGCTCATTCAGACCCGGAGGAAGAAAACAGTCCCACTGTGCCATCACCAGGGCGTCGCTGGTTTCTGTGAGTCCTGAAGAAGTCTCTGAGGCTGTGATGCCTCGGCTCTGCAAAACACAGAAGCGAAAGCTAGCCTCTTGGTTCAGTTATGCCTCTACTGAGAAAAAAAAGAGACTTAAAATCTTTAAGCAGATGTGAATTTATTTGAATAAATGAGCAGCCAGAGGCAGCCTCCTACGACCCGGGCCACCGGTGGAGAGGCGGGGACAGACCTCGGCGCGCGGAGGGTGGCGACACGGCTCTGGGCTGGGGTGACTTCTGGACCTGCGGCTCTGGGGACCGGGCCAGCTAACCCGGGAGCGGAGCGCCGGCGGCCCCGGCTCTGAGCCTCAGCTTTGCTTCGTTCCCAGCACGAGTCGTGTCGGGTCTGACAAAGCCTGGTCCGGCCCCCGGGGAGGTGGACTGTCCAAAGCAGCCACGGCCACCTGCGGCACGCCCTGCACCACCGCGGTCACCTCACGGCGCCGACCTCAGGCGTGACTGGACGTCGCGGACGCCCATCGCACGGCCCCTAGGAACTCGGCTAGTCCCCTAGGCCCGCGCCACGGGGCGGGTTCGCTCCCTGGCCTGCAGGCGGCGGTACACGGGGCGAGTCGCCCTGCGATGCGCCGGAGGGCCCGGGCAGGCGGCTCACGGCGCCCTCGGCCAGGCCGCCTGGTCGGGCTCGGCGTCTGCTCGCGGGCGGCGGGCCCTGGCCTCGGTCCCCGAGCCCGTCGGCTCCGGCCTCGGTCAGGGTGCGCGCCTTCCGGCCGTGCGCGGCCCCACGGCCCGGCCTCCTTTCAGCGCCTCCCGCTCACCGGGGTCCGCGCGCCCCAAGCGGCGCCCTCGGTCTGCTCCGCGCAGGCGCACGCCGCTTCGGCTGCGAGCCGCCCTTCCGGGTAAGCGGCGAGCTCGGCGCGCGGCCAGGCCTTTACCGGGGGCCGGAAGTCCAACCCGCTCTGGGAGCCCGCTTCGCGTGGGCGTGGTCAGAGCCGCCTCAGTCCCGGGACCTGAGTGCGGCGCGACTGGCCCTAAAAGCTGTGCGCGTCGTTTCCGCCAAGACTTCTGTGAGCCGTCGGGATGTGGCTCTCCCTGGTGCTGCTGTTGGTGCTGCTGCTGCTCGCGGGCGTCCGCCGTGTCTACTTGGGGCTGTTCGCCGGGCGCTCCCCGAACCCCTTCTCGCAGGACGTCAAGCGGCCGCCCGCGCCCCTGGTGACCGACAAGGAGGCCAGGAAAAGGGTCCTTAAGCAAGGTCAGCCGGACCAGGGGTCCGCGCTGCGCTCGGCGGCCTCGCGACCTGGGCTGGCCTCAGTTTCCCCGTGATAAAGTACCGGGAGGCTTCCTTGGAGTGGGGCCCGTTTTCGTGGGTGCGCGGTGATGACTTTGCCCTTGCAAGCCCGGAAGCTGCTGCCCTAGGGCTTGTCCTTGTCTTGGCACTGCCTAGGACTTGTCATGGCCGGCGATGCCCTGCCCTGCATCCTTTCCCCGATTTGGCTCTCTGACCCCAGCTTTCCCTGTGCGGGCTCGCACAGAAACCTCTCCCCATTGCAAGAGGAAATGGCTTTTGCAGGCCAAGGGATTGGACGGGGTAGGCATGGCCCCAGCTTATAGAACTGACTCTGGATTCTGAACTTGGGGAGAGGCTCAATAGGGTTTCTCAGCTCTGAGCCCACTGCTCTAGTCCACCAGCACCTGCGTTCGATGTGAAACTCAAGTGGGGATACCTGCAAGGTTAGAGAGAGTTTCGATGGAAAAAATAAGCAAAAAACAAAACGAACAAAAAACCCCCAAAATATTGTTTGATCTCCAGCGGCGCTCTTGCTTATAGATTTTTTTCCCTCTGTGACCAAACTTGCTACAGTCAGACAATACTTTTTGTCTTTCTTTCCTTTGTGTGTGTGTGGGAGGGTAGTAGGATTGAATTTAGGCTTTACATGCTAGGCAACTGCTCTACTACTGAACAACATACCCAGCCCTTTGTACTTTATATGGCCTGGAACTTGTGATCCTTCTGCTTCAACCTCTTGATTAGCTGTGATTACAGTTGTGCATTGCTGTGCCTGGCACTAGGCACGATTTTTAGATTAGATGTATATGCAAGTGCCCATTAGCACAAATTGTTCCTCTTAAGGTGTTCCCCTCTTCTTCCCAGTGTAGGGGGTGGTGCTGTGATTTCTCAGAGCAGTAGGCTCAGGGCAGCTCTGTCCTGCTGAGCCTCTGAATCAGGATCTGGAAGAACCACATGCACGCCAGCTGCTCTGGTGGCATTTGCAGACCCTACATCATCAGAAGAAACCCAGCTTGTGAATGGCTGGTTCCTGGAGCTGCCAGCCTGCCCTCTAGCATTCTCCCCATCCCCCACTCCATTTTCTTTCTTTCCTGGCTCTTGCTTCCTCAGAAGTGTCTACACTGAGGTGTATCCACCTGTTATCCTCTTTCTCTTTTTGTTTCTGTAGTTAACTGATTTCTACTTTCTTTCAAAGTTGTAAAAATCCACAGGTATGTAGTGGTTGTGGTTAAATTAGTTCAGACAATGCAAATCGCTGGCTGGTTATGAGTATTCCTAGGTGAATTTAGAAACCTTAGTCAACAGCAACATGCTAAACCGCTCTAAGTTTTCTCGCAGTCCAGGCTAGAGGAGTCTTCTTTGGTTTCTCTGTCTTTGCCATTTTCCTGCCCCTATCTGAGAAGCCCACCCTCTTCCTCCTCCCTTCTGCTGCAGTTTTCTCAGCAAGTCAAGTGCCAGAGAACCTGGATGTGGTGGTGATTGGCAGTGGCATTGGGGGCCTGGCTGCAGCTGCGATTCTGGCGAAAGCTGGCAAGCGAGTCCTGGTCTTGGAGCAGCACACCAAGGCAGGGGGCTGTTGTCATACCTTTGGCAAAAATGGCCTTGAGTTTGACACAGGTGAGGCTTGTGTGGAACAGGGCTGGGATCAGTGCTTGGGGGACACATTTCTCTGTCCTACAGGTGCCATCTTCTTTCTGAGCACCACTTTCCTTGTCTTCAGCCATACCGTCTGATGTGGTGGGTCTGCTCTGCCACCTCTCTGCAGGAAGGAGGAGCAGTGGTTCTGGTCCACCTTTTCCCCTTCACTTTCTCGTCCTCTTCCCAAGGCTTAGTCCCATTATCCCTGAGCCACCTTGTCTTTCCACCTCCCAACAGGGATCCATTATATTGGGCACATGGAGGAGGGCACCTTTGGCCGCTTTATCTTGGACCAGATTACTGAAGGGCAGCTGGACTGGGCTTCTCTGTCCTCGCCTTTTGACACAGTGGTACTAGACATGCCCAGTGGCCGAAAGGAGTTCCCCATGTACAGCGGGAAGAAAGCATACATTGAAGGCCTCAAGGAGAAGTTTCCCCAGGAAAAAGATGTCATCAACAAGTACATAAAGCTGGTGAAGGTAACTTGGACTTGTTCAGGACCCAGTTCATTCCCAAGACTGATCTTCCTCATTAGTGGAGTACCTGAGCAGGGGAGTGGCTGGAGTGGGTGGCCCCAAGGGCCAGGAGGAGGGCTTGTGGATGCCACACCCACTCTGGCCTCTGGAGGGCACTTTGCTCTCCTGGCTATGCTGCCTTGCAGGTGATAGATCTCTACTCCTTTTTATTTCTTCTAAGACCAGATGGGATTTCTGAAAAGGAATTTGACCAGGAAATTTATAAGCAGAAAAGCCTCATCTGAGTGTGCAGGAAGGGAATATTTAGAGTACAGAGTCCCCCCACCCAATTCAGGCTGGATGCAGTGGTGCATACTTATAACCCCAGCTATGGTGCTGGGGGACAGAGACAGGAGGATCCCCTGTTCAAGATCAGCTGGGCAACTTAGCAAGACCTGTTATTTGCTTATTTATATATATTTATTTATACATACATAAATATGGGCAGAGGTACCCTACCACTGAGCTACATCCCCAGCCCTTTTTATTTTTTATTTTGAGTCTTGCCCAGGCTGGCCTCAAACTTGCAGTCCTCTGGCCTAAACATCTAGAATTGCAGTGATTACAGGCATGTGCCTCATTGAGATCTTGTCTCAAAATGGAAAAGCCCTGGGGTGTAGCTCAGTGATAGAGCACCTCTGGGTTCAATCCTTAGCACTGCAAACACACAAAAAACAAATAAAATGAAAGACTTGAAGCAGGGCATGATAGCACATGCCTGTAATCCCAGTGGCTAGGGAGACCGAGGCAGGAGGATCACTAGTTCAAAGCCAGCCTCAGCAAAAGTGAGGTGCTAAGCAACTCAGTGAGATCCTGACTCTAAGTAAAATATAAAATAGGGCTGAGGATATGGTTCAGTAGTTGAGTGTCCCTGTGTTCAATTCCTGCTACCAAAAATAAATATTTTTAAAGTAAATTAAAACTAAAGTCCAAATTCAGCAATGTTCAACGAAGGGTAAGTATTGCTGGCCCTCAGCTGGTGCAAGCTATTGGAAGGGACGGTGTGTCAGCTGTCCCAGAGCTAGGCCTGTTCCCACACTTGTCTTCTTTCCCAGGTGGTAGCCGATGGAGCCATTCACGCCCTCTTGCTGAAGTTCCTCCCATTGCGCTTGGCCCAGCTCCTCAGCAAGTGTGGGCTGCTGACTCGGTTTTCTCCATTCCTGCATGCGTCCACCCAGAGCCTGGCTGAGGTCCTGCAGCAGCTGGGGGCCTCCCCTGAGCTCCAGGCCGTGCTCAGCTACATTTTCCCCACCTATGGTGCGTGCTGGCTGCAGGCTGTGCTGTTCCTGGACAAGAGGCTCCCGCCTTCTGGTCTCTGTCTTCTTCCTGAACCTGCCTGGCTGACAAACGGACCAGAATGGCCTGGCCCTCTGCAGCTTGTGCTGCTGTGCAAGTCCCCTTCAACCATTCCCTGGGTGATTTTTCTGTTAGCCAACACCAGGCTCCTGGTGTTGGTGACATGCTAGTTTGCAGGCAGTACCTTCTTACTGGCCCCTAGGTTGTAAGGCTCCCGGTGGGATGGAGATGGCTCTTGCGGTGGCCCTAGCCCCTAGGAGCCTTGGGTCCTGTGATGGACTCTGGTGGTGTGTTGCTCCTTTCTGAGTGGTCCTGGTACCTGTGCATAACCCTCCTCCCCTCTTCCTGCAGGTGTGACCCCCAGCCGTACCACCTTTTCCATGCATGCTCTGCTGGTCAACCACTACCTACAGGGGGCCTTTTATCCCCGAGGGGGTTCCAGTGAAATCGCCTTTCATATCATCCCTGTGATTAAGCAAGCCGGGGGCGCTGTCCTCACAAAGGCCACTGTGCAGACTGTGTTGTTGGACGCAGCTGGGAAAGCCTGTGGTGAGAGCTGTGCTGTGAGCTCCGGGGTACCCGAGGGCAGAAGGCACAAAGGAACCCACCTTCTGCAGGCTGAGGGGCCAGGTGTGCTGCAGAGCGTGGCGGGTAGCAGAGTGATGAGTCTGGCATGGAAAGGGCCACGTGGGCTCCAAAGAGCCATTCTGAATTATTTATTTGATAGATAAAAGTATTTATCCAGTGTTCTGTGACCACCTTCTTGATTGTAGGGGCTGTCATTTTCTCTTAGTGGTACTGGGGACTGAGCCCAGGGCTTTGCACCTGCTATGCAAGTGCTCTACTCTGAGCTATGTCCTTAGCCCAAGGCTGTATCTTCTTTATGTTTTTTTTTTTTT